AGTTTGAGGTTGCTGTGAGCTGTGATGCCGCAGCACTCTACCAAGGGTGACAAAGTGAGACTCTGTCTTAAAAAAAAAAAAAAAACAGCTTGTCTCTGAACCAAACAAAAATGGGGTCACCTCAGTTTCCTCCATCGTATCTCAAGGTCAGTCTGGCCTCGCCTTTGGGCACCTTAGACTCAGCATCTTCTGTGAGGATGACAATGTGATGTGTGGACTCAAATGATGCCGCTGCCTTGAGTCTGTGTAGTGTGGATGCACAGCTAGTGGGGGAGGGAATTTGGGGGGCCTGAACCACACGATGTGCTGGAGCTGGGGCAGGGGCCTCTAGCCCTTCCAGAACACTTGTTGCAAGCCTCACTTGTAGACAGGCAACTGACAGGACAGGGCCAGTGAAGTCAGACTTGCTCCTTAGTCTTCCAGACAGAAGCTGTGTGCTTTTGCTGCAGGACTGTAGACCTGTAACCGTCAGTGCTTTGTCCCTTGGTGTTCCGACCCTTGTCCACAAGAGGGATCAAAATGAGAATGGAGATGATGCCTTCAGCCAGGGAATAAGTCATGCTCTAAGTAGTACTTTCCCCTATAGTAGACGGCAAACTATTATTTTAACTGAGAAGACCTATACTGAGGTTGAATCTTGGAAGGGCAGCTGCCCTTTTTAAAAAAAAAATGGTCCTTAGATATTTCACCCATGTTTACCATTTATCATGGCTTTAAAGAAGTTTGCCCCAGGTTCCTAAAAATGGCATGTTTTGGGCTATTCTAGGGAAAACCTTCCCCCTTATTACTCTTTGCCAATGCTGACTCTGACAGGCATCCTTGAGAGAACTTTCAGAGGCCAGCAGGGGAATCACGGGCCCAAGTGGCCCCTGACGCAGTCTAACCAGGTGTGTGTTTGCACTCAGTCCACACTGCGTCGCCGGAGCAAGCCAGAACGGAAGGAGCGCATCAGTGAGCAGACCTACCAGCTGTCACGGTGGACCCCCATCATTAAGGACATTATGGAGGTAGGTCAGTGAGGGGTGTATGAGAGAGAGAACCAGGGCCTACATACAGCTCTTCACCTGGCTGCCTGGGTGCTTCCAGCTTCATCCGCTCCAAGGCGGCAGTGACACCCATGGGTTTCTCCCCCTGAGGATTTGCATCTGAGTCTCCAGACCTCTGTTGGTTCTCATGATGCACCTTGTCCTGAGGGTTTATGAAGAGCCAAGAGACTGAAGAGGCAGGTCCCCAGGTCCATTTGTCTGTTGTTATGTCTCTGAGGACTCAACCTTAAATTATAGAGACCCCTCTATGGTGGGGCATTCAAAGGGCCAAGTGCTCACAGCATCTAGGAGTCAGATGAGTGACATGCACAAGTTCCACACTCAGGGATGCCCTGACTGCAGCGCTCCCACCCACTGGGCACAGCCCCACCTACCCTGCCGCTTCGCCCACTGCTCCCTCCCTGAGCTCTCCACAGGCCAACAGACCAGACTTCTGCTCCATTGGTCAAACCAGCCCCTTGCCTGGAATGTTTTCACCGTTCTTTTACCTTCCCAAATCCTGCTTTCCTTCAAAGACCTATTAGGTCTCACCTTTTCTGTGTGCTGCCTCACCTCTCTGGCCACCTAGGACAAGGAGGATTCCTCTGAATCTGTAGTGTGTGTCATGGACACACCTTACAGATATATGTAATGCTCAGTGCACTGGTGATCTCTTGATATCTTGGTCCTGTCCCCCCCACTGTTGGGTCCTCTATGCAGAGCCCCACATGCAGAGGTGTTGGCTGTAAGGTAGCATAAGGTGTGGGCACCAAGCACCCCTGTGGGGTTGCTTCTTCTCTCTTGCAGTGGGAGGAGACCCTGCATATGATCCTACACTGCCCAATCTTTGAGGTAGGACCTAGAGATAATCGGAACAACTTTCACACTTGACAGGCAGGCAAAACTGGGGTCCAGAGGTTGAAGGGACTTGCCTGGGTTCCTGTAGTTACTTCCCAGGAGCCCAGGTGTTCTACTGAGTTGGATGTTAAAATACATATATTTGAAATATGTGAAGTGAGTCAGCTTCCTATTTTTAAAACTCACAAACAAAAAGGATAGGTGAACTGAGACATCTAGAAGCCAATTACATTTTTTTGCTTGGTGGAATAGATGCAGCCAACCCTTCTGTCTCATTCCCTTCTTGATTGTTGGCCCCTCCTTTCTCCCCACTCCTCCCCAGTCCCCGAAGAGACATGTGTAGGCTTCATCGCATAGCTGCAAGGAGGAGCATGGGTCCCTAGGCTGCAGGGGGTCTGAGAAGCTGAGGGGCCAACCCTCCCTCCTGTGCCAGAGACCCTGCGTGTGCCTACTTTCTACAAGGCTATTGGCAAATATCAGGAATTTGGGGGAAAGAGTGTAACACTTATAACTTCACATAGTCGAGAGAGAAGCAAGAAAAATTAATGCTCTTTATTTTTGTATTATTATTTTTTGAGACAGAATCTCACTATGTCACCCTTGGTAGAGTGCTGTCGTGTCACAGCTCACAGCAATCTCAAACTCTTGGGCTCAAGGGATTCTCTTTTCTTTTTTTTTCTTTTTTCTTTTTTTTTTTTGCAGTTTTTGGTCGGGGCCAGGTTTGAACGCACCACCTCTGGCATATGGGGCCAGCACCCTACTGCTCAAGGGATTCTCTTGTCTCAGCCTCCCAAGTAGCTGAGACTACAGACACCTGCCATAATGCCTGGCTACTTTTTTTTTTTGAGACAGAATCTCACTTTATTGCCCCTGATGAGTGCCATAGCATCACAGCTCACAACAACCTCCAACTCCTGGGTTTAGGCAATTCTCTTGCCTCAGCCTCCCGAGTCGCTGGGACTACAGGCGCCTGCTACAATGCTCAGCTATTTTTTTGTTGCAGTTAGGCTGGGGCCCGGTTTGAACCTGCCACCCTTGGTAAATGGAGCTGGCGCCCTACTCACTGAGCCATAGGTGCTGCCCATGCCTGGTTATTTTTTTGTTGCAGTTGCCATTGTTG